AATAGGGCCCAACTCAATAATCCAACAATAATCTCATAGTCTAACAATTAATTACAGAAAACAAATAATTAAAATTACCTCAAATCACAATTTGTTACAATTCTCCCCCACATGAATTAGACATATTCCTCGAGTTCCCAAGTCCACATAGACACCTTGTGGTGCAACCACTATACCTTTACCCGCTCAACCCTCTTCTTCCTCAGCTCCATCGTATTCCTGTAGAGAATGGCTACTGGTCTATTGATATAGTTCAGGCTGTCATCCACCTGAATATCCTGTAAATACACAAATGTGGAGTCATCCGTTAGGTACTTCCGTAGCTGGGAGACATGGGAAGTGTTGTGGACCTGACTAAGCTCGGCTGGCAGATCAAGTCGATACGCAACCCAACCCACCCGAGCCAAAACCCTAAACGGACATATTTAACCGGGGCCCAACTTAACCCGCTTCCTGAACCAGATGACACCTTTCCAAGGTGACACCTTCAGGAGGACCATATCCCTTACCTAAAACTCTAGGTCTGATAGGCGCTTGTCGGCATAGTATTTCTACCGACTCTGAGGAGTCTGTAGCCTGCTCTGGGCCTGTTGGATCATCTTCGTGCTCTTGGGTAACACCTCGGTACTCCCTATGAATCTCTGAATGACCTCACCCTCAACAAATTGCTCTCCTACACTTCCTCCCATAGAGCATCTCGGTGTGACGTCGATCTATGCTAGCATGACAACTCTTGTTACACGAAACTTCCACTAACGAAAGATACGTATCCCAACTCCCACCAAAATCTATTACGTATGCATGCAACATGTAATCTATACTTTGAATCGTCCTCTCACTTTGACCATATATCTAAGGGTGAAAGGTTGTACTGAAGTGAAGACGAGTTCCCATCTCGTCATGAAACCCTTCCCGAACCTGGATTTGAAGCGAACATCTCGGTCTGACACAACTGACACCAACACTCCATGACGTGCCACCACCTTGCGTACATAGATCTCGACTAGCTTCTTAGCCAATATACTCTCCTGGATCAGGATGAAATAAGCACCCTTGGTCAACCGATCCACGATGACCCAAATTAAATCCAATCCACATGCTGTCCTAGGAAGCTTCATGATGGAATCCATACTGATATCTTCCCATTTCCACACGGGAATATCCAACGGATGCAACTTGTCGTGATGTTGTTTGTGACCGGCCTTGACTTTCCTGCAAGTCAATCACCGCTCCACATACCATGCTATGTCCCATTTCATGTAGGGCCACCAATAATTAGGGCGAAGATCCTTGTACATGTTCGTCTCCCGGGGTGAATGGAGAATCTCGACTTGTGTGCCTCCTGTATAAGAACCTGATGCTACCCTACAATACAATGTCAACAACCCACGGTTGTCATAATCGAATGAGGCCACTTGGCCTATGATCCGCTCAAACTTCCGGCGGTCCTCCTTCGTACCCTCAGCCTGTGCCTCCTGGATCTGTTCCAGTAATGGAGTAATCACTGTCATCATCAAACATATGTCTAGAATCAGAGCCACCACTACCTTGCTGCTAAACGCATCAGCCACCACATTGGCCTTCCCCGGGTGATAAAGGATCTCACAATCATAATCCTTTACCATTACAAACCGATGGTGCTGCCTCATGTTCAAATTCAGTTTATCCATCAGGTACCTCAGGCTCTTGTGGTCCGTGTAAATGGTACAATGAACCCTATAGAGGTAGTGTCGCCAAATTTAGTGGGCGAACACCACAGCCCCTAGCTCCAAATCGTGTGTTGGGTAATTCGCCTCATGAGGCTTCAATTACCTTGAAGCGTATGTTATTATGTGACCCTGGTGCATCATCACTACACCCATGCTCGTTATCGACACATCAAAGCAAACCATGAAATTGTTGACGCCCTTCGACAAAGTCAGAATCGGTGCCTCGCACAACCGCTGTCTGAGAGTATCAAAAGTTTCCTGATGCTCAGGCCCCCATGTAGCACCTAGTTCCTGGTACGTAAAATTTATCTTAGTGTTTTTCATTTTTTAAGCTTGGACTCAGCGAGTTGTAGGTCCGACTCGCCGAGTAGAGACGGGATCCGGAGCATGTTTAAGTTGGCGACTCGGCGAGTCCCCGCTGTCTGATGAAACCCTAATTCCAACGGTTTGCCCCTATTTAAGCTAGCTTGTGCGGCCCAAGCTCACCCCATTTCACCCTCAGAGCGCCCTACATCAACCCTAACTCGTTTCTTGTGAGATTGAAGTGATTAGAGTGATTCCTTGAAGTTTTTGGGAGAAGAAGGGGAGTAGATCAAGAAGAGGAGAAGGAGAACAGATATCTTTATGCTATTTCAGAGTTCTCTGAGGTATATCTCTGCCCCCATTCTGTTTGTATGCTTAGACCCCATTAGAGCACCTTTCGAGCTCTTCTTCGACCTTTTCCAAGCTTGTGCATGAAGTAGAATTCATAATGGGTTGATTATCTACTAGATCTAGTCATGTTTGAGCTCCAGAAGCTCAGATCTATAACCTTTATGGGAGTAAATTGCTTGAATGTCCTAGATCTACATTATTAACCCTTATTTCGCCTTTAATTCCCATTCTATGCATTTCTACACGTAAAGTTGGAAACTTTACGTGAAAATCCTGCCCTAAGAACCCAGATCTGTAGATGGCATGAACTGGATACGAACAAGATTGAGTCTATAGTATTTGCATGTGGCAGACTCGCCGAGTCACTCATCGAACTCGGCGAGTCGGGTCGCGAGTCCCCGAGTTTTCCCCCTTTTTTTGTTTATGCCGAGTAGAGTAGTGAGTCCTAGGTGGACTCGGTGAGTTGGAAGCCAAACTCATCCGGGAACGAACTCGGCGAGTCAATTCCCTGACTCGACGAGTTCAAGGCAACTTTCTTAGATCAAGAACAGACTCGACGAGTTGTTCATACGACTCGGCGAGTCACAACATAAAGTGTTCATCGGATGAAGATGAACTCGGCGAGTTGTTCATACAACTCGGCGAGTAGAATGAAGGACTTGGACATCAGTTTAGAAGGTGAACTCGTCGAGTCAATGCATAGCTCGACGAGTAAAGACGAGATTAAGGACAATCGAATGGACGGGAGTCGACGAGTTGGCGAGCTAACTCGGCGAGTCGGGTCAACTGGAAGTTGACTCTCACTTTGACTTTTGACTTGATCAGGGGTAAAATGGTCATTTTACCCAAGGGGCAATTAGCGGTGATTGACTGGGTATTTTGTGGGAATTATAGCCGGAGGATTTTCGGAGCAGCAACAGCAGCAGACAGTCAATTCCCACACCGATCAGCAACTACTTTGAGGTGAGTTACCTTCCAATAGCGGTGGGTCTACGGCCACAATGTCGGACCACCAGTAGGAGTTGTATGATGGATGATTTTCTCTGTGATATTCATCTAAGGTTGCTAGTACCTGTGATATGTTTATGTGCTAGTGTGATATGTTGTTATGTGCTAGTGACAGTAGGGGGAGATAGTCCCCAGATTACCGGTCGATAGGGCCGAAGGGGCGGTCATGCCCAGCCATGCTAGATAGATTATGAGATATGTGTGTTATGTGGTAGTAGTAGGGGGTGAAACAGTCCCCAGTATCCAGTCGAGAGGACCGAAGGGGAGACCAGCACCCAGATATGTTAGTCAATATCCGGTCGAGAGGACCGAAGGGGAGGCAAGCTCCCAGTTATACTAGACAGCATCCGGTCGAGAGGACCGAAGGGGTAGGTCGGGCACCCAGATATGCCCGACGATATATGAATGTTATGTGATTATATGGTATGTGGTACGTAGGGGGAACTCACTAAGCTTCGTGCTTACATTTTTCAGTTTTGGTTTCAGGTACCTCTTCTTCGAAGGGGAAGGAGTTGGCGCGGTAGCAATACATCACACACCTGCTTGTTTTCCGCATTATGATATCTTCCTGGGAAATTGTACTCTGACACTTTTATGATTATGAATATGTTTTTCCGACGTGCAACATATTTTGTGAAATGAAATGATTGTTGAATGATTTATTCCTAAATGTTTTGCAAAGTACACGTTTTAAAAACGAAATTTTTGGCTCGTATTTTTGGGATGTTACACCCCAGCGGAATGTCACCGACTTCTTGGTCATCCGGGTCAAGGGAACTACAATCTGGGAGAAATCCTTAATGAATCTCTGATAATAACCCGCTAGACCAAGAAAACTTCAAATCTCAGATGGAGACCTCAGAACCTCCCACTGCATCATGAACTCTATCTTGGAGAACTTTACGAAAAGTCTTTCCCCATTACTAGAAAATAGACCTTTAATGACGCGCAAACAATGACACTCTCTGATAGACGACGCGCATTTGTACGTACCATAAAAAATAATGTCAGCTTTGCAAAATTTGAAGGATAGAGGGCGCGCATTTGTGCGTGCCCTAAAATTAGTGTAAGAAAAGAAAAAAAAATGCGGAGGGTGCCTTTCATAAAGTGTGCGTCCTCTAAATGTGTCGCTTTATATTTTTTTCCTAAACATGCGTTTTTAAAGGGGGAAAATGAAATCGTCTGAAATTCTAAAATTTTGAAGAACCCCGCTTCTACCCTCTCTCCTCAGTATCTCCCTTTTCATTCACCCATTCCTTCTCTCTGTAAACCCTAAGCCATCGCCACTGCCACCGCCATTGAGCCTTAAAACTCAATCCACACTAGAATCCTACAATAGAACCCTAATAATCCTTTTGAATCAACACATCCTTTTGAATCGGCTCGTCTTCCTTTACCTCTGTACTCTCTCTCTCTCTCTCTCTCTCTCTCTCTCTAAGCCCTAAGCTGCCACCACCAACATCGAACCCGATAAGCTTTAAGAGTTTGGAGTGCATCTGGAAACCTAAGCACACACTTCCGCCATCTCAAGATACTAGTTCAAGATCGAAACACCAATCCCTCTATCCCCACTCAGATCCCACGCACCGCTGCCCCTAACCTTCTCCTTCAAAACGAAAGAAACGCTCGATGATTCTTCCTCTACTGGTGGTCCCACCTCCGAATCACTCGAGACTGAAATTTTTGAGGACCGACTCTCGCAGGTACGTTTGTGTAATCAGAGTGGCAAAGGGAAGAAAGTCGACCCATGGAATAGCATGAAGTCTGGGAAGAAATCCGGTGGGAGTTCAGGATCTAGGGAAAACATATACCTCCCACTGGTGCCTTCGAAGGATCCGAATTCAGGTTGAGTTTGGAGTGCGTCTAATGAAATCTGATCATCAGCGATGCAATAACGGTTCTCTCTCACACTCGAACCCTAGATATCGCTTCCTACCCTCCTTCATCTCTATTCTCTAAGACAAAGGATTCCAATAAGAAGGATGTGGGTTGATTTGCGCTGGAGATGGCGCTCCTAGAGATGAGCTGCTTCCTCCTCCAATAAGAAGTATGTGGGAGCGATTCTTAATGTATATTGACGTTATCATCTTCACTCTAATTCTCATCTTTTGCATTCCGATTTTATTTAGCCTCTCAAAATCGATCTCAAGGTCGATTTTGCATGTATTTTGACTTTAATCAATTCACTTTGACATTTGACTTTAATCAAGGTTACTTTAGTTTGATTATGTGATACTGGTTTATTTATTTATTAAGCAATTCGCTTTCATATTTGGAAATTCAGGGGGTTTGACTCTTTATAGTTTAAAGGAGGCAAGAACCTGTACTAAGGTTCAAATTTAAGGATTTACAGAATTGTGAAGGGGAGAAGTCGATTCACAGACTAGGCAGCGAGACCAACATTTGCACTGGTTCTTTTGGTATTGTTCATTGTGCTGATTGGAATGGCTCTGTAAGTAATACACCTTTTTCCTTTTATTATTATATATGTAACGACGGTATTTTGGTCTTTTCATTTAAAACTTTACAAACTCCACTACTTTCCAGGATGTTGCAGTGATAATTCTTTTAGAACAAGATTTTCATCTAGAGAATCTCTATGAAAAAACAAGAAGGAAGGTGAAACGACAGCTGTCTCCTTATCCATTTCCATGCCTTCATCAAATTATAATAATAGGATGCAACAAGCAATTGGACCTCAAAAAGGTATCAAGACATTGATACCTTAACTTTTAAATGAATGCTTTTATTAGAAGTGAAACAGTATAACTTAATGATAAACTTGTTTGTGATTTCCTACGGTTGGTCCTAGCATGGAATGGAAACCGAAACCAATTTCTCAAAGTCAAAGGTCAATTAAGGTGCCTGTGGTTGTGGTTCCAGTTGAAGCTCATACTCCAACAATAGTTTCTTCTACATCCTCCACTAATCTTGATTCATAGGAGGATGAACTTGAGAAGAAGCTAAAGGAGTCCCACATTTCAGATGATAAACATGTCATTATCCCAAATCACCTTCATGTTCCTGAAGCCGAAAAACTCGGCTTCTGTTTTGGGAGTTTTGATGCCATTTTTGGTTTTAATAAAACCCCCTCAAACTCAAATGGTCTTGTGGCTGTGACCATGAGTGAAAAGACGTCTGAAGCATCTGAGGAGGCTGATGAAACTATAGAGGATCAAACGCAATCCAGGTTTCTGTTACTTAGGTTGTATTTCATATTGGAGTAGACAACATTTTCTGATAAATGTATGCACTTTAGTGGTTCAGAAATGAAAATGCTGATGAAGAGGAGGATCATCTTGAACAACCTACCACATCTTCATCTAATGTACCCAAGAATTTACCAACAGAAGGTGACATGTCATTGAATGCGGGACCCGAGTGCAGAGAGTCGAAGCAAGAGACTTCTTCGTCTTCTTCTTCTTCTTCTTCTTCACTCCCTACTCCAAGTCATCAATACCCAGCTGTTCATACATCACCAAATCCAAACTTCAGTTTTGGGTTCATGCCACCAATGATTGGAAGCCAAGTTACATCTTTTGAAAACACCAAGTCTCAGGCACACGATGCTTCTCATGTCCCAAGCTTTGTAGTAAGACCCTACCACCCTTATTTATTTATTTATTTATTTATTTATTTATAATCCATTAATTAATTAATTAAAAAAGAAAATGATTTTTTTGAGAAAATTATTTACAGGTTCAGCAACCGTTTGATCTAGCAAGCTATTATGCTCACTTTTATCGTGAGAGTGATGGGCGCATGTCACCTTTCCACTCAACCACAAAGTACAATTGAAATGTTCAACAACCTTCTCACTCTTCTCAAGAGGTTTGTTTCTTAAATGCCAACAAATTTAACCATATATATGCCTCTATTTACTAATTAATTGAAACCACAGGTCGGGAACTCACTAATGCTATCCACCACCAGTCCAACACCAACAACCGCCACACAAACCGCCGGAGTCATGCAAAGCACCATATCCGTCACTCAACAACCATTACCTGTTTTCCGGTAGCCACCAGGGGTTCATCTACCTCATTACCCTCCAAATTACATCCCATACGATCCATATTTCTCCCCATTTTATATCCCTCCACCATCTGCTATCCATCAGTTTTTAAGCAACGAGACATTCCCACAACAACCACAACAAGGCGGCGGAGGCATGTATCCAGCACCACCACCACCAGTGGCTGCCACCTCTAATTCTAAATACCCGCTTCCACAATATAAGCCAGGAAGCAATACAGGGAATATTGGAATGGCGGGAAGCTATGGACCGTATGCTTCAGCAGCCCCTGCTGGTTATAACCAAGTAATTGATTTAACTTTTACATTATGAAGTGCAGATTATAGTAGGATCATCAATTAACAGTTTTTCTTATCTATTACAAGGTATAATAGAGAATGCAATTTAATCACGACAATGTTAGCCCAGTACAGGTATTCTTGCTTGCCATATGTTGTTTATCCGTAACTCTATGCAGTTAATTTATACCCTTCTTATTTACATGGCAGTTGCAATCTGTGGAAGTGCTCCCTAAAAAGGCTGTTAATATCTTGAAGGAAAATAGGTAGGCCTCAAAGGATAAATTTTTTCTTTATTTTGACAATTCAAAGTTTTTATTTTTCTTTATGTTTCCTGAACATGGTTTTGATTTTGTGATAAATGGATCTTTTGGGGGTTCTTTCTGAATTAACCAAGGAGTCCAACATTGACAAGTTTCTAGGGGTATTTTTGGAATCCCTCGTGGAGTACAGTCATGATGATGATTCGTGCCTTAAAGTGTTGCTTTCCATGATAAAAGTCGTTCCTGTTAATGTTTTAGTTGGTCGTTTAGTTACAAAACTTCTTTCAACATGCAATTGACAAGTTAATAAATCATATGTATTTCTTGTTAATTTACAGGATTTCTTGAAATACAACGAATCATCTCTAATGAAGCTGCCTTGTAAGATATTTGATCCCATTCCACTTGGTGAAGCTGCTGTTGTTGGGAGGATGAAGGATGTAGATTCAGTAGCAATGCGTGAAGGTTCATCTTTATATGATTTGGTTCAAATGAGAATCACTACCACACATGCTTCTGTTGGAGTGGTGGTTCGCTTGAGGGAAGAGTTATCTCTTGTAAAAGATAAACCTGCTCATTTTGCAATTGACCAAGTGAGTTGACTTTTTCTCTTTCTCTTTGCAAGTTTCATATTACTGTTATATATATATATATATATATATATATATATATATATATAGAGAGAGAGAGAGAGATAGAGAGAGAGAGAACAAAAGTTCAATGCTATAATTGACAAAAACTTAAAGTACACTGCTATGAAAGGATAATGCTATATTCCGCAAAACATCATTTATTTGTTACTTTTTTTTATGTGTGTGCATGTGTGTTGCTGTTTGTGTATAACAGAAAAAAAAACACCTTAACATACACACACGTATTTATAACTCATAAACATTATAAAAAATGACCTTTATAAAAAAGAATTGAAACATGGATTACCATTGTTGATAGCTTTACGGGTTCTTATGGGTGGTGTTAGATGGAATTGTGATGATATACTCTCTAGTTCATACGATCAAGAATTGTCATTGTTGATAGCTTTACAGGTAATATTTACAATTTGTATGAGGGTATTCTTGTCATTTTGATTGTAATTGTTTAAACACACAACGGAAATTGGAAAGCGAATGAAAATGACAAGTGATTTTGTGTTGTGTTTACAGGGTTGATGAAAGCGAATAGCTCTCGAGTTAGAAGTGGAAAAGAAAGCTCAAGCCGAAAGAGATAAGATGCTGAAAATGCAAGTGTTGTATTCTTCATTTCAATTGTTAGTATGAAACATAGAGTATATTAGATGAATGCAAATTTATATATTGTAAGAAATAGAATTGTATGACATTAAAGTTTATTCAATGGATTGTATTTTTTTGTATATGGTATTTTATTTCTATTATGACACATTAAATGCAAATTTAATTTAAAAATTAACAAAAAATATAAATATATATTTTTTTAAATATTTAAATTTACGATACGCAAAAATGTGTGTCATCTTCATTTATGACATGGCCTTTCTTGACAGGGGATTTCTTGATACGCATTGCGTGTCATTAACACGCGCGTCGTAAGGTTACGACACGCAAATGCGTGTCGTCTTCCTTTATGACAGGGCCTTCCTTGATACGCATTGCGTGTCGTAAACGCGCGTCGTAATTGCGCATCGTCTATAGACGACGCACAAAAGTTCGTCGTCTCTCTTTATGACAGGGCCTTCCTTGACACGCATTTGCACGTCGTCTAAGCCTTTTACGACGCGCAATGAGCGTCATAAAAGGTTGTTTTTCTAGTAGTGCCCTCCTCAGTGTCTGTAGCACCTCCCTCGGGTGCTCCTCATGCTACTCCTCAGTCATGAAGTAAACCAAGATATCATCGACGAAGACTATCACAGACCGATCCATCATTGGTCTGCACATATGGTTCATGAGGTCCATGAACGTGGCGGGAGCATTGGTGAGCTCAAACGTCATCACCACGAACTCATAGTGACCATAGAGAGTCCAAAAGGCTATCTTCTGTAAATCTTCGTCCTTGAATCGCATCTAGTGATAACCCGATTGTTGATCAAGCTTGGAGAACCAACATACCCCCTGAAGCTAGTGAAATAATTCATTAATCCTCGGGAGGGGATAACGGTTCTTCATCGTTACCTTATTCATCTCGCGGTAATATTTACACATTCGATGTGACCCATCCTTCTTCTTTACAAACAGGATCGGGGCTCCCCATGGCGAACTGCTCGGCCTAATAAATCCTTTGTCTAATAGTTCATGCAACTGTGTAGACAACTCGTGCATCTTGAGAGGAGCCAACTGATGTGGGGCCTTGGCTATCAGAGCCGCACCGGGAACTAGGTTAATCTTAAACTCAACCTGCCTCTCTAGAGGTATCCCAGGCGATTCCTCTAGGTATTCCCGTATGATCGGTACATCATCTGCAGTCGCCTTACCCTTATCACGGGTATCCACGACATAGGAGACATAAACTGCGCAACCCTTGTAACACTCCATTTGAAATTAAATAAAATAAGTAAATAAATAATAAATGATAAAACCCCAAGATGTAAATTATATTAAATTTTATATTATTTTAGCCAAAATCAATAATAATTTAGCAAGGTGTTGGCTTCGTGGCGCTAAATGTCATACTTTTTGGAATATTGGGGGTTAAATGTAACTTTAGGAGTGGTTTTGTAAAGATTTTAGAAGGCCGAGGGCTGTTTGGTAAGCAATGGATTTGATTTGAAAAGGATTTTAGAAGTCAGTGTATAATTGGTAAATGTTGGGCTAAGTTGAAAGAGTCTTTTTGGAGAGGGACCAGAAATATAAATTTTTATATAAATTTTAGGAGCTGGATGCGTGAATTAAACCCGTTCCCCTTCACCCTGTAGCCACGAGATACACTTCAACTCTAAACCTAGATCGATTTGCAGCTGCCGCCACCACCATCTTGGAGCCTCGCAGCCGCCGTTGCGTTGCCAAGACCGATCGTCGCAGGCTACCTCATCGTTGAAGCGCCACCACCACCAATACTGCTGCCGAATATGTCATGGGCAGCCGAATGAACCACCAAGACTGATTATTGAAGTTTTGTTCATCATTGTGCGAGTCGTGAGCGAAAAGGAAGTTCTCGGTATGGATAACCACCTCCCACCTCTTCTTTCCTCTCATCTGTTCGACATTAGGTAAGTTGTAGCTCCCACCGGTGGCCTTTAGCCGCTGTTCTCATCATTTTATGGAAACATCTGTCACAATTGTATAATAGTAAAAGCAAGAAACATACAACCATTTCATTTACATAGTAAGTGTATTTACAAGTGTGTTTTGTATTGTTTGACAAACACCAAAAGTAAACAAAAATAAGAGATGGGTCTTGTATCCTCCATCTTCTCCAAAATGCTGCTGATGTACCTGTCTATCTTTGACCTGAAGATACAAGTTATTTTGAAAAGAATATCAGCATAAAGCTGGTGAGTTCATAAGAGTTTTTAGTGTGAGTACTTGTATAAAAGTATTAGAGTCATTAGTATGAAAACTGAAGTTTGAAATCATAAATAGTGGTAAAACCTAGAAAATCCCATATTTTCCAGAACTGTATAGTAAGTGAAAATCCTTAAGAAATATGTTGTTTCTATCTTTGAATGTCATTTATCATAGAAGTGTAATAGTGACTCATCATTATGTAATGTAGTATAGTGAGTTATTCTTAGAGTATATAATAGTGGTGCATCATCCTTTAGTATTAGATACTTATTTACTTCAGGATATTACTTCATCTTTCTTTTAGTATTTTAGTGCGGTTATCGTGTCTTTCTTAGTATATTCCCAATAGTGTGAGTAATAGCGAACCCCCATGACCTTCCCAGTCATGCATAGTGTAGTAGAGTAACAGCATCCCTGGGCCTGAGCGGCTCGGACTGAAGTTATCAGTCGGGATGTAATAGTGTCGGCCCCGTATAGATCTATACATATAATGTCGTCTTCCTGTCGGAAAACTTCGGGCATAGTGAATAGCGTATAGGGTATCCCGTAGTGGATTAGTGAGTTATCTCATGATTAGTGCATTCTCTTGTATTATAGTGTAGTAATCTTTCGTATAACTTGTATTGTATTCTCTTATTAGTGTATTGCTTCATAATATAGAGAATATTAGTAGTGTAGAGTAATAGTGGAAATTAGGGATAGAGTCCTTAACTATACCCATTATAGTTAATTTAATGTATGTGGTTCTAGTCAAGTAGTGATTCAGGTAGTTAATAAATTAAGAAGTACTCATAATCTGTACTAATATATGAGATATATAATTAAGAAATCAATGACAGTCGGATGGAGAACTACTACCCTAAGTCCACAATCAAACAAGAAACAGGAAGTAAGGCGAGCTATCGGTCCTAAGTCTTTCAAGTCTTACTTATATAAATATATTAGTATGATCACCTTCTCATAAAGAGTTTTATTTAACAAAAGTATTGTACGAAAGGAACATTTAAAACTTGTTTGTTAATCCAAGATAGTTTTGAAAACAATTGACTTATTTATAAAGCATATTGATAAATCACATGTGATTTGAACTACAGGTTGTAAGTCACATGTGATTAATTCTGTAATCTGAAAATAGTTTTGTATAACTTTTCACAAACATGTATATTCAACTTGTATCTCCCCCCTAAAACATATAAAACATTTGAAAGGTTCATTTAAAGGGGTATGAACTCACCTGAAATCGCGGAAATCGGGTGAATCGGGTAAATCGGGTAAAAGTGTCGATTGAGCGTTTGGTACCCAATAACCACTTGAGCACCTCTTAGGACCCTAATGTCATATGAAATATGTATTTTACAAGAAGTTAATCATCTCAAACTTTTCATTGTAGTATTTGGACATTCTAGCGTCGTTTTCAGGGTTTTAAGGCCTAGAAGGGGTTCCCGGGAGTGGTACAAAGTCATGAATGATTTACGGGAGGGTTTAAGAGTTAACTCTTTTGGAGTTTATGGCCCAAAAGCCATCCTTTGGGAGTTTACGGCCGTAAACCCCTTAGGCTTGGCCGTAAACTCTTGTGGCTCTCCAAAGTGCATGTTTAAGGTCTTGTTTCACTTCCTTGATTTAGTGGTATGTGTCTTGGGCATTTTAAGGGATCATACATCATAATTTGTGGCATTTTTGGGGAGTTTACGGCCAAGACTTGTTCTTGGGCCGTAAACTCTTGTAAACCCTTCAAGATGTATGTTTTAATGGTACAACAAAGTCTCATACACCTTAGATAAATCCTAGAAGACCCTATAGTGAGTTTGGGACAATTTGGCATATATTTTTGGGGAGTTTACGGCCCAAGAACATCCTTGGCCGTAAACTCTTCATTTTGTGTCCAAATGTGAAGTTTATTTGTACAACACACTTCCAAAGGCCTTAGCTAAAATCCTTACATGCACTATGGTAGTTTAGGGACTTGTTTGACACAAATTTTTGGGTGTTTACGGCCCATGCTTAAGCTAGGCCGTAAACTCCTCATTTTGTCCTCAAATGGAGTTGTTTGATGCATTTAAGTGTTCCTTATTGTCAAGTCTAAATTGCCAAACACCCTAGATGAGTTTTTGGGACATTAAACAAGTGTTTTTGGGGTGTTTGAGGTGTTTACGGCCTAAGCACAAGCTTGGGCCATAAACTCCTTTTTAGGCTCTAATTCCTTGTGTTTTGGTGTCCAAAGTCCCCTAGGTTTATGCCTTAACTAGTCCATAAACTTAAAGGAAGGAAAAACAAGGCTTTTGGTATGATTTTGGGGGTTTACGGCCTAAGGAGCTTCTTAGGCCGTAAACTCCTTTATGGTCCTTGATTCTCATGATTTTGGACTCTAAAAGCAGTAAAGTATGATTAGATTAAGTTAGGGGATGAATCCTTACGTTTGGAAGTCGGAAATTCGCGGATTTGGAGTCGATTTTGGGTCTAGAGAGAGAAAGTAGTGAGAGAGAGGTGTAATAGCGGTAAAAGAGTCCAATTGAAGTGTTCAAGTGTTTTTATATGTCTCGGGTATTGTACCCGATACACGGCTACCCGATGCTAAAGTTTAACGGGGTTAAAACTTTTTACCCGGGTGAAGCGGTTGAAATAGTGACACCACTCTATTAGGTTAAACTAGTGTTAACACGTAAGAGTTATATTGCTTACAATGATCTTAGGACATGTGTGAAATTAGATATTCGGATATTGACGATTCCATATATAACATAAAGTAACGTATGTTAACGCATTTCGTTAGTGAAAATGGGATTTGTAACGGGAATAGATTTAGGGTTGTCACATCATCCCCCCGTTAGGGGAATTTCGTCCCGAAATTTAGAACACAACAGACACGTTAATACATTATTACTAAGTAAAGAGATGGGGATATTTGAGTTTCATTTGATCCTCACGCTCCCAAGTGAACTCCGGTCCTCGTTTGGCGTTCCACCGAACCTTCACAATTGGGATACGGCTTTGCTTCGTTCGTTTTACTTCTCGATCCATAATCTCAACGGGCTCTTCCACGAAGTTGAGGCTCTCATTGACCTCAATTTCGTCAAGAGGAATCATGAGTGTCTCGTCTGACAGGCATTTCTTCAAGTTAGAGACGTGAAAGGTAGGGTGTATGTTGCTTAGTTCGTGAGGTAGGTTGAGTTTATAAGCTACGGGGCCGATTCTAGCGAGAATCTCAAAAGGTCCTATGTACCTTGGGTTCAACTTTCCACGCTTTCCAAAGCGTATCGTGCCCTTCCAGGATGAGACCTTCAACAAGACTCGATCTCCCACCTGGAATTCCAAGGGTGTTCTTCGTTTGTCAGCGTAGCTTTTCTGTCGATCCCTAGCGGCTTTTAGTCGTTCGTGTATCTGTACAATCTTTTCAGTCGTTTCTCGAATGATCTCCGGACCAGTGAGAGAGCTATCAGGAACTCTTCCTTTATCTAGTTGAGTGTCACCCACCTCAGCCCAACACAGAGGGGATCTACACTTACGACCGTAGAGGGCTTCGAATGGGGCTGCCTTGATGCTCGTATGATAACTATTATTATAAGAAAATTCCACAAGAGGTAAGTGTGTGTCCCATGACTTACCGAAGTCAATTAGACAAGCTCGCAGCATATCCTCTAAGGTCTGAATCGTTCTCTCACTCTGTCCGTCGGTCTGCGGATGGTAGGCTGTACTCATGTCCAGCCTCGTCCCTAGTGCTTCTTGTAACGATTGCCAGAACCTAGAGGTGAATCTACTATCTCTGTCCGAGATAATAGATATAGGGACGCCATGCAGTCGTACTATTTCTTTTAGGTAGGTTCTAGTGAGTTTCTCCATCTTCTCCGTTTCCTTGATGGGTAGGAAATGTGCGGACTTAGTTAACCTATCAACAATGACCCAAATAGTATCTAATCCACCCGTTGTCTTGGGAAGTTTGGTTATAAAGTCCATTGTGATCCGCTCCCACTTCCATTCTGGTATCTCAGGTTGTTGGAGAAGTCCTGATGGCTTTTGATATTCGACCTTGACCTTTGCGCAAGTAAGGCACTTACTCACAAAGGTGGCGATCTCCGCTTTCATGTTTGGCCACCAGTATAGTTTTTTAAGATCCAGATACATCTTATCTGAACCTGGGTGAATGGAGTAGCGAGTGTTATGCGCTTCCCTTATAACCAAATCTCTAAAACCTCCATGGCGTGGAGTCCAGATTCGGTCCATGAAGTAGTAGGCTCCGTCACCCTTAACCTCCAAATTTTTATCCATTCCACGCAGAGATTCTCCCAACATGTTCTCGGGCTTTAAGGCTTCCAGCTGAGCCTCTTTGATCTGCATGGAGAGGTGCGAATGGATAGTCATCATCAACGATTTGGTCTTTCGACCAGTATACTCCTTCCTGCTCAGTGCATCTGCTACTACATTGGCTTTTCCCGGGTGATATCTAATTTCACAGTCGTAATCGTTAAGTAGTTCGACCCATCGACGCTGCCTCATGTTGAGTTCTTTTTGGTTCATTATGTGTTGAAGGCTTTTATGATCAGTGTACACCACACTCTTCATCCCATATAAGTAGTGTCTCCAGATT